TATAGTCTTTAAACCTAGATATATGGTTTATTGTTTGCAAGTTGGTTGTGCATTGATAATGAGTAAACACATCAGTAACTTGATGTTATCAAACACATTGTTGTGCATAATTTGATGAGTGAATAGTAAATGCATATAAGTCGAAGTTTATCTGTTCCTTTTATCCTAAGAGGGTAAAAGCGATATCTAGGCCATCAATGATTTGGTTTGACTTATGTGCCGGACCCGATCAGGACTGAATTGATGTGTTCAATTAAGTTCTATGTCAGACGAATCAGAGATTGAGAAACAAACTGTTGGACAATAAGTATGACTATGTTCCATGTATTTTTCCGCACGATATCTTGAGAATGGAGGATTATACGATCCCTTGTCTAAAGGATGAGTCATAGTTTGACAGCGGCTTTTGAGAGCTACGATTGCTAATCAGATCCTGAAGTCATACTTGCATTTATAGTTATTAGACTTATCCAAGTGGGAGACTGTTGGATTAGTATCTAAGTCTATAACTATATTTGGTATGTACTTGACCCGGTTGTAGCATGGTCCTTTTGGGTTGCCTTCACCAAAGCAACTTGACAGGATGATTTATGGAGAGAGAGGATATTATGGTTTACTAATATATTATATGAATAATATATTAAAGGAGAAATCATATTGTTTAATTAATATTGGTCTAGAATTAATTAAGAATTAGTTTTGTGGCTGAAAGAGATTAATTTAATAAAGGGGACTAGAATTGTCAATTATAAGATAATTGAATTTGGGTTGTGGATCTTGTGGATTAAGGGAGTGGACGATTCTAAGGTGGGAGCCCACTTAGAAATCGTCCAAGGGCCCTATTCCAGAAGGTTCTTGGAGCTGCTTAGGGCCTAAGCTATCCAATTAGGGTTTTGACTGAAACCCTAGCAGCTCAGCTATTTAAGGACCCCTAGGGCTGCATATTTCGGCTACCAGAAGAAACCCTAGAGTTCCTATAGCCGAAATTGTGCCTCCATTCCCTCTCTTCTAGATCATCTTCTTGCCTTGGTGTTTGTAAGCCATTAGAGGTATTACACTTGTGATACTAGGCCCTCAAAGCTTGAAGATTCTTGCAACAATCAAAAGGTAAAGATCTAAATCTGTTTTACATGTTATTTCGATTTTGATATGCTAGATCTAGGGTTTGTAAGCTTTGGATAAATTTGCATGTACAATAGAGAAACCTAGATCCAAAGCTTTAGGGTTTTGCATGTGCACATAGGAATGTTCTTTTGCTCAAAACCCATCAGAAGTAATTTGGCAGCAGCAGCTCGGTAGCGGTGGGTCGGAAAGTCTCACGGTGGCAATGAGGTGGCGACCTTGCTGCCCTATTTCTATTCTGTCGGTAATGAACGAGAATGAGATCGGGGAGGGAAAGGAGGTGGTTTGGTGGTCGGAGGTTGCTCCGGCAGTCGAGTGGGGTTGGGATGGTTGTTTCTGGTAGGGAGAAGGTGGTGGCAGTGGGGTGGTGTAGCTTCTTCCTGCTCGTTTTCCGGCACAACAATGGAAGGTGGCGGAGCTATGGGATTTACGGTGGCATATGATGTCAAAATATAGCAAAAGAATCTACGCCTTAGCGTCTTGACTTCAGAATTCTTGTGATTACCTGTATTACTGATTACCTGAGAATACAAGTTGTTTTTGAAAGAGTATCAGCATAAAGCTGGTGAGTTCATAAGCAAATTTATGAATGAAAAATGAATGATGTTCCTTTTTGTTTGTTACAAGTTTGTTTCCAGAAAATCCAATATTTTCTAAAGGGTTGTTATAGTCCTAACTTAACCAAGATTTAGTGTATGTAAGTAAATCATCATACTCGTGTGTGTGTGGTTTTATATTTAAATAAAACTCCTTAAATCCCCGTGAACTGTGTGTTTTGTTAATTTCCCATGTGAGATGTTATAACCATACTAAACTCGAAGACCTCGTACTCGACGTTCTTCAGGTGTCGGAATATTATGACACTTGTCACCCCAGACCTGGCGGTCTAGCTGTTGCAAGCAGCTTAGGTGCGGGTTTGTCAGACCCAATATAGATCTATACACAACTATCACGCTCTCCCTCCAGGAGATTCTGATTATAACTACAGGACTTTACTGTGGTACTTAAGAGTACCCCGAAGGAGATTGTCTTACAAATTTATTTATTAACAAGTTCACGTAGTGTGTAATGAAATACTTGTTTTGTAAGTCGATTGAGTTACTGTTTTCTTTGTCAAACGAAGTGCTCAAACTATACCTATTATAGTTTATCAAAAGTGTTGTGTGTTTGAATGAAACATTGTTATGCATGTCTTTGTATTTCCATAAAATGAGATTTAAAATACTAAGTGTAAATCGGTCCCACCTTGCTCAGCATGTTACAAGGTGTGAATAACTCTTAAACATGTATTTGACAGTTTTACCCATAACTGTCACTGTTTTAGAATATTTATAGAAAAATCATCGTAAGTCGAAAACTGAATCCGTAAACTCTGAGTATTTGGAAAAAAGAGTCCACTGTATCCATAAATTTTCCTATAATTTTTGGTGGTCTCAAACCAGGGTGAAAATGTTCATCTTCACAACCTGGTCCGACTTTGATGCTGCAGTGATAGGCAGTTTTGTAAAAATCACCATAAATTGTAGAAACATCGTATGGAGATGTGAGAGTAGTCATTTTAAAGGTATAAACCTGAATTATTTGCATATTAAATAGTTTTGAAAAATATTAAGTTTAAGTTGGGTAAAACAGTTCGTGAATAGATCACAACTTTTCTGTTGTAAGCTGTCAAGTTAAGTTTCGAATATGTTTTGGTGTTTTAACTTGTATTCCCCCCTGAAAACTAAAGAAAACGGGAAAATGTAGGGGTATGAACTCACCTTGAGTGATTTCTAAAAGAGTGGAAGGTTGAAGTCGAGGAGTATCAAGTCAATAACACTTGATGAACACGTGGAAGCTTGGATGATCCTAAGAACGATTTTTGGTGTTAATGTATGAGTCGATGATCCAAGAGTGTTATGAAACTATGGAATAACACTTGATTTTAGATGGAATACTTACCAAAAAGTGCAGTAGTAGCTCAAGAACACTTTCACAAACTGGTGGGAAGTAGAGAGAAAATGAGGCTCTTTTGGTGTTTTGAGAAGTGTAAGTGTTTGAAATGATCAAGTAAGCCAAGAAATCCTCCAGGGATTTCTATATATATTGAAGGTTGCTGGAGCAACTTGTAAGTTTGAAGTGATGCTTGCCTTGGTTTGTGTGATGTGGATAAGGTTGGCTAATGAGAGGATGACACATGGAGGCAAGTGGGCACACTTGACCCACTTATGGGGTAGAATACTTCTCTTATTATAAAATAATGATTTTTAATTAATAAATCATTGAGAATTAAATAAAATATGAGTTTTGGGGGTTTAAAATGGTAAAAATATGAATTTGGTGAAAAAATCCCGTCAAAAACGGACTTAGGAAGCGAAAGTAGTCGAAAACCGGACATTATGGACCGAACCTGCGAGGTTTGGCTCTTGGAAGTGCTGAGGACCGAAAGTAGAGCAGGAACCAAGAGAAGGGAGTAGGGACCGAAGGTGGGGGTCTCGGTCCGAAATGTGAGGGAGGCGAAATGGGCCGAGCCCTCGGTCTATTTCGGTTGTAGGAGGCTCGGTCCGAGATGGTAGGTTCGCTTCTGACAAGTTCGACTCTGAGAGGGTTCGATTCTAATAGAAGGGTTCGGCCCTAAGAGGTTCGGTTTCTAAGAGGTTCGGTTCCTAAGAAGGGTTTCGGCCCTAATTAGCTGTTTTTCGATATAACTCTCTGTTTCAAGCGGTTTTTGGCCAAGTTAAGGGTCGGGATGACTAAAAAAAAGTTGAGAGAGATTTTGGGAGAGATTTCACATACTTGGAGAGATTTCAGATACTTGGAGAGATTTGGGAGAGATTTCACATACTTGGAGAGATTTGGGAGAGATTTCATCTTAGCCATTAATATCGTATAATCTCGTAATGCAAGGTTCGTGAACCCCGTTATGCTTCGTTTATGATTGTTTTAAGTCCCCGAAAGGGTCCTTAGTCGGGTTTTGATGCGTTTAACTCCCTTGTTAGGGTTTTTACATTGCTAAACACATAGATTCTTCGAGACACTTAAATTCTTGACATACAAATGCACATTTTTATACATAGAATAACTTTTAGCATACAAATACTAATTAAGTTTGACCGGTTTGACTTGTTGACTTTGACTTGTTGACTTTGACTTTGACTTGAATTTGACGGTTGTCACATATCAGGTGGTGTGGTGGCTGCCTCTAAATCACTAGAGGTGGCAGTCTCCACTCTGTGGCTTCATTTTTCTGGCAAGGCTAGGCAGAGATGAGGGGTCGGTATTTTAAGAGATATGTATAAAGGTCAAAAAGGGGGGGGGGGGGGAGAGAGAGAGAGAGAGAGAGAGAGAGAGAGAGTGATTAGTGGGCCCACTTTTATATTTAATAATAATAACAATTTTAAAAAGTAAAAGAAAATCGAAAACTAAATTCATTAAGGGTATAATAGTCTTTTTAGTTTGGACATGGACCAAAACTGCAAGCAAACTAGCTCAAAAGGACTACCAATCCAAAAAACTCGTGGTTTGGACCAAAACCCCAAAAAAATGAATACCACAGGGACCATTTTTGCAATTTTGTCTTTATAATCTTATTTTTTACGTATTTATATGTATTTACGTATTTTTAAGTTTTTATATGTATATGTTTATGTATTTTTTATGTATTTTAAATGTATAAACGTATTTTTTTTACATATTTATATATACATTTAAATATTTTACATATTTTTTATGTATTTTTATGTGTTATTTTTTATGTATTATATATTTATATGTATTTTTACGTATTTATGTATTTTTTTAAAGTTTTTTATATGGATGTGACCACAAAAAAGACAACAAATAAACGAAGACGTGTCACCAAAACAACACTTTCAGGATTAATTACAGGACATGGTGATCTACGATCTCCACCATTGGCTTGACCTGAGGCATCGAGGACTCACCACAACCTTATGCCCATCCAGAGCAGCACATGTTCCTTCCATCGTCTGATCTCCTCCTGAGACTTCTGAGTCTCCTAGGCTACTGTCGTAAGCCACAACCACAAGAATAATATGTGGAAATGGAAAGTACACACTGTGCACCACGATCTTGACGTTGCGGATGACGTCCGACACCTTAATCCTCACATAGTTCATCATCATCGGTGCCGAGGTCAACCCTCTACTCGCACCAAAGGTTGTGATAAGCAACAGTTTGCCTCTTTCCAATGTCGGCAAGAAATGGTTTGGCACAACGTGGAACCTGACATTGTTGATATGATATAAGAGTGAGAACCGAAGAAGATCGAAAGGTCGTCAACGACGAATACCACCATATTTTATTGTTAAGAGTCACAAGCTCGACGTACTTCACCTTCATAGCGAGGGCTAGGATGCTGAAGCCATCGTTACGGAGCCGGAGCATGGCATCTCTGAGCATTAGGCGCATGATAACGGGCTGTACCGAGCCGAAAGTCTGGATATGTTGACCATAATGAATATCTGGATGGAACGGGAACGAGAGCGAGGTCATCCTCTCCATGTTGCAAGAAAACATAGAGAGCGGAGAGATGAAACCTTGAAGACCATGAGTAACCACCATGTCGTTGTTGAAGAGATCGGGTTGCGTGATCTCCACCCCTCCGATAAAGACCTTAGCACTAGCAGTTGTGCTGGTCTTTCTATTGACCGAATCAGAGGTGGTGATGATGCAACGACCTGGACTCAAGGTCTCTCCTGCCTCTCGGGCGAGGGATAAGAGTAGTGTTATTTAGTTTGATGAGGGTAGCTACCTATTGTAGGAGTTCCTGACCTGAATGGACACCAACAAGCAACTACTGAATGTAAACAAAGTAAAGGGGATGGAATCAACTCAATAGAATTAGGTATTAAATATGACTTTTGAAGTGACTAAACGAAGTTAAGGATTGATTCGATACCAAATCCCAAATCCCTATAGATAACTAATGGTAGGGGGCCCAACGCCCATCCTGAACTACGTTCATTGCTCGGGAAGTGAAAAACCTTGTGTCTTTTGAAGGAATACATGTGCACTTTCCCTTTGGCGGGCCTATAATTGCGAGTGAATCCTTTGTGCCCATAAACTACTACTTCACCTAATCGGCAACCCCAGGATTCCTAATGAAAACGACACCTTCATCTCGATCAAAGGTGGGATCCCAGGTTGCTTGAAGCTTCCTATTCGCCTTTCGGGGGGTCCCCCGTTGATAGATGGGGGGAAATCATCTGCGCCACTGTATAGTAAAAAAAATTGAAAATTATTACAGTAACGAGGAGAGCTTATGGACAAAAAATGAGGATTCTGGCGGCTTTTGCCACTTATGATCAGTGTTTACAAGAGCGGGACGGTTCAATGTCTTACAATGTTCAAGTATCATTCTCGTCGGAAGGATTTTTTAGGAGGCCTGGGCACCTTCTAAACATCCCTGAAGGATAAAACAACATGATGAAGAAGGCGGCGAAGGTATGGAGGAAAATTTTGAAAGAGAACAAGAAGATCCATGAAAAGGGGAGACATGGAAGTAGTAGAAATGTTGAAGAGGGGACAACCCGCTCTTTACTTTTCAGGGAGGCTGTCCTCCCCTCTTGCCTTTCCTAGACCCCTTAGTGAGTCCTCCTGGTTTGGAAGCTTAGTGAGAGCTCTTACCTCATGGTAGCTCTGGGAGCTGCATGCTAGCGTTTATTGAGGGAGTTGGAAAGAGCATTTGCGGTTGAATCGGAATCGATTTCGAATGAATCCAAGGGAGTGCATATAAATATGTAAAAAAAATACGTTTATACATTTAAAATACATAAAAATACAAAAACATCCATATAAAAAACTTTAAAAATACATAAATACATTTATGTATTTATGTGTTATTTTTTAAGTATTACGTATTTATGTATTTTTAAAGTTTTTTAATATGGAAGTTTTTGTATTTTTGTGTATTTTAAATGTATACTTGTATTTTTTTACGTATTTATATGTATTTTTAAATATTTTTTTATGTATTTTTTTATGTAATTTTTTATGTATTACATATTTATATATTTTTTGAAGTTTTTTATATAGATTTTTATTTTTATGTATTCTAAATGTATAAACATGGTTTTTACGTATTTATATGTATTTTTAGGTATTATACATATTTTTGATGTGTTTTTTATTTATTAAGTATTTATATGTATTAATATGTATTTATGTATCTATATGTATTTATATGTATTTATGTATTTTACATAAAAATACTTTTATACATTTAAAATACCTAAAAAATATATAAATACATATAAATACGTAATAAATAAAAAAATAACACATAAAAAATATATAAAATAGTTAAATGTACATATAAATATGTAAAAAAAATACGTTTATACATTTAAACTACATAAAAATACGTAAAAAATTATGTAAAATACTTAAATGTACATATAAATACGTAAAAAAAATACGTTTATACATTTAAAATACATAAAAATATGTAAAATACTTAAATGTACATATAAATACGTTTATACATTTAAAATACATAAAAATACGTAAACATATACATAGAAAAACTTAAAAAAAATACTGAAGTACGTAAAAATATATATAAATACGTAAAAAAAATATGTTTATACATTATATACAAGCTTTGACGAAATTTGCAGAAAAATCTCATTATTTTGCAAACATTAACGATTTGGTCTCATGAGCTGCTGAACATGTCAAAAATGGCTAAAGTGAATAAATTAGCCAGTTTCTTAGGCTTTTCTATTAAAAAGTTAAATAGTTGGAACTTTTCTGTTCAAAAAAATATTTATTACTATATTAAAACTTTTTCTCAAAATATTGGATTTTTTTACAAATTTCTCCAAAATGAAATTGCAAAGCCGCCAACATAGTTTGTATACCTATATTGTCTTCTTTTATTTTCTCCATTCAAATTTAAAAATGGGTTCAACCGACCACCGGCTCCTTTCTTTTGCAAAGATAGGAGAACTGTAGACAATATGTTAAAACACAATAGTACGCTACACACTCTCTTTTGACCAATACTTAGTTGAAACCGGACTTAATCACTCAACCTAATTTATAGAAAAACAATGTCATCGTTTCACTTAATATTTGATGCATTCTTTACTGCTTTTTACACAAACTTATACATGATGAACAGAATGTAGATGAGCATAGACAAATGTTTGTGGGGGATAGGCACTAGGAAGACAGTTGTTTCCCTCTGAGTGATTGTACTTTTAAACTATACACACACCTTTCTGCCAAACACATTTCATAATGAATTCCACTTTGAAAAAACAGAATGAATTGGCATATTCCCCATTGCAAATTCAGAAACTCTATATATTGATTAAGTCAACTACTAGCTTTGACTATCTGTACTATTGACTTGATTCAACATACAAAAATAAAAGTAAAAAGAGATAGTGCAATTGGGTGGTAGTACCACTATTCATATTCAGATTCAGATGAAAGTGAAAACTGTGTTTTACAATATCTTGATAATGACAAGTAAACTCCACAAACACTTTTTACCCCCCTTGCCCCAACATCTACCTACCAATACCATTCATTCTTAATTCTTAATTCTTAATTCTTAAACAAACATTCTTACCTACTAATTACTACTGATAATAAGTAATAATCCCAAATTCATATCATATCATTCTCTTTCTTATACTACCAGTAGGATCTGGGTTTGGATTGGAAAAGGTCTTGGGTTGACAATGGCGATTTCTGTGGGTTTATGAAGTTTTGGTGTTGATGATGGTCAACGTCAATCCAGCTAGGAGTGTCGTTGGGTTTTTGTGGTGCAAAAAAGTGGTGGAATGTTTGTTTATTGGGAATTTCATCGAGTTTTGTGTCGATTTGGATACTGGATTTGGTTTCTTCCGATGATTTTATGAAATCGATATCTTCCTCTTTGTGTTGTTGCTGATTTTTGAGATTCTGAAAGTTGAAGTGAGAGTAGTTTTGATGATCAGATGAAGATGGAGCATTAACAGTCATCTTTTGTGAGGTGTATGGATCGTTTTGTGGGAAGAAAACCGATCTCTCATCTTGCAAGTACCTATATTCATTCATCCATTCGATAAAACAAAACCCTAATTCAACTCAAAAATCGAAAAAATTGCAAAAATCGCAGAAAACGAACCTGTAATCGATGAAGTTGGTCTGAATAGGAGACGATCGAGTGTGCCGGGTGTTGTGGTACGTAAGATGATCAGAAGGCGAGATCGATTTCGAGATATTTGTGGTTGTCGTTAATGGCGATGAAGAAACGTTAACAGCAGTAGATGAAGAAGACGAAGAAGTAGTAGAAGAAGAAGATAATAATTCCACAGGCTTTCTTGAACGATTACGACCACGATGCATATGTCGCTCACAGTATTTCGAATCCGGGTACGCTTCCTTCGAACACCTCCATTTTTTTCCATCTGTTCTTCTACATCTTCCTGGTTCCATATCGATTTTCCTTCCCCCAATTTGATACAACTGATTATACTGAAAGTTTCCTTCCCATACTCCAACTACAAACAAAACACAATCAAATCATACAAAAAAACACTCACGAATCAAAGAAAAAACTAGGGTTTGAACTTTTAATCAATTTCCTTACATTGATTAGAGGGATTCGTAAAGGAAGAGTTGTATAAGCTTCTTCTGACAGACAAAATGAGATGAGTAGGTACAGGAACACCTGAAACCATGTATTTGTAGATTAAAGCTTGCTGTTCCAGTTCTTCCCATTGTGCTGTTGTGAAAAGATTTACGTTACTACCACTACTCATCATCTTGTCTCCTTGATTCAAACTCTTGGTTTAATAAACCACCTCTGAGATACTCTGTTGTTGGGAAGATGGGGTTCCTATGTATATAGGGGTAGGGGTACTATACCCCCACCCCCACCCCACCCCACCCCACCCCTTCTCTCTTCTGCACTCAACTGTGTAAATTTGTTGTGTTCTTGAGGGGTCCCTTTACCTCACACAACACCAGATTTCACTCAGTCATTGTTTGCTACCTATGTATCTCTGCCACCTTTACGGAAATTCATATTACATAATACACATGTACACCAAGATTTAAATGCATGTCATACACTGAGTGACTGTTTTTTTTTTTTATTATATTTTTATAAAATATCTGTATGTTATAAAATGTTAAAAGTATATATACATATAATAATGTGGAAGAATGGAGTTAGTTGTGTTGAAAGACTGAAACATATCACATGCAAAGAAAGATTGAAAAAGTTTTGAGAAATGATATGACATGAAGCATCATTTTGATGTTTTTATGGTACAACAAAATGTCTATTTCTTTTTAATGTTTTTATATTTTTTTTGTGAAGATGGTGGAGTTTATGAATGGAATTTGGCAGTTTGTTTGGGATTTAATATACTGACGAGTCCTTAAAAGCTATAGGACCTGCAAATTTGACTGGCAAAGATACCCCTTAGGTCAAATCAATTTAAATTATTGGGCAGTGTCAGATCACAACACCATAAAGAGAAACAGAGGACACCATCAACCCTAACTCTTTTATTTTCTCAACTTATTATTGAAACTATATGACTCGTGGATTTATTAATTGAGTGGTTTTTAATGCATTCATAAAGTAAAAGTTGGTCTATAACTAGAGGATTATGATGTCTAGAAGTTGAAATGGTTAGAGATGTCAATTCTCGATAGGGACAAATAAATAAACATGTTCGGATTGATTTTAAATGGGTTTGGGTTCTCTTTTCGTATAACCGGTATGGCAAAACGGAAAAATGGGTCGTGTTTCGGTTGGTGAGCAGGTTTGTAGGTGGACCTGTGCTATATTAGGTTAAAAAGAATATTTGTTTTTTGAATATGTGATGGCACCCTTATGCCCTAAGTAATGAAAATCATTGATAAGAAACGATGCCCTATACTCTCTCGGCCTCTGTTATAACTTATAACTTATAACAACCCACAACTCCACCTTCTCGATATAGCATGATTTCATCCTTGGCCCTTCCATTCGTTTGCTTCCAAAATACACTTCTTCGGTTCTACCAACATTTGCAACATATTGTCCTTTTGCTTATTGCTGATTTGTTTCTTGCAATTGGCCCTATTGTTGGATAACGGATATTTATGTGATATCAGTGTTAACCTTAATTTCCAATCGACACTTGATGAGTTGACCGTTGGAACCTCAAAACTATAGATGGCTACCTACAATCTTAAGTTCTTTCACTTTCTTACAATAGGTCCTAATAAACTATGTCGTTTTTCTTAAATTTTACTTTTAATTTCGTTCGATCGGTCCTAATAAAATATAGTACATACCACAATGTCTGAATTACTTTTAGTTGGTCCTAATAAAACATGTTATTTATTTTTGTAGTTGAGTTATGGAAGATACTCATACCAAACATATGGACATTCATGATGAAATTGATGATTTAATCGAAGAAACTACACTAGAAAATGAATCAAATGGTGTTGAAAGTAATGCTACAAAGAAAAGGAAAACCAAGAAACAAACTTTTGGCTTTTGGAAGAGTTTTCTTAAGCTCCCACAAAAACTAATTGAGTCCATATATTATGAGTGCATAAAATATGGTTTAAAATATTTAGTGATAATGAATCTCGTAGATACGACTATATGTCTATACATCATAGGCTTAACGGCAAAAGAATTACCTCGTATCTTAACAGTCCTCCCGTCAAGACAGTTTAATAACTTAACAGTATGGCCGCCTTGCGCCCATGCTACCAAGCAACCACGCCAGCACATCGTCTAGGCCACTAGCTATGTGTGGTTACATCTATACAGTCAAGGTCACATGGCGACAAACAATACTGGCGTACAATAGAAGGCGTGCTCATGTTACTACCAATATTTACTCTGAGCCAATCACAACTCAAACAAAAGAAAAAGAATTTGATCCACCATTCGGTGTCGCCCTCTTGCAGTAGGGGTCACATCATTGTCCCCTAAAAGAGGAACCTCCACAATCCTTACTATAAAAGGCGAACCATTCCTCAGGAAGAGATGTTAGTCTCCTTTTATATATATATATATATATATATATATATATATATATATATATATATATATATACTATTTACACTCATTCTCATGAGAAAACTAAATTGACTGTCATAGTGTTCTCTCGACACCTCCTCCGAGAGCACGACTGATGACTTTCTTTTCATTTCTGATTGTGATAAAGATCTCACATTAGAGGGAATCAATCCGAGAGATGATATCTCATCACCTAGTATCAAAAAAATATGGTATAAGTAATCTAATATATCATTAAAAAACATGTATTATAATATCAACCAAAGATATCAGTCAATTTATGATTTCTTCTAGTAAGGTTGTTATGGATGTAAGAAATCCAGAGTTTAATCAAGAAAAATTCAGGTGATTGTTGATTCATGTTATAGTTAGACATAACTTGTCATTCTCTTTTGTCGAATATGAAGTAATTAGAAATATTTAACATAGTTGGAACCAAGTGTCAATCATACTACAAGAACACAACAAAGTTTGATACTACGAAGTTATATGAAGATCAATGTAACAGACTTCATGATGACCTGGTTTGAGGTCCTAGTAGAATATGCTTAACTTATGATGCCTGGACCTTAACTATTACATATGGTTACTTGAGTTTGACTGCCCATTAGGTTGATGACAATTAGATATTGCAAAAGAGAAATCTCAACTTTTACCAAATAACTCATCTAATTACCGGTGTTGCTTTCACCGAAAAGACCAGTGGTTTGATAAAAAATGTTGAAACGAAGAAATTGTTTTTTATTACTTTGGATAATGCTTCCTCCAATGATGTTTGTGTTGAGTTGCTTAAGAATCAAATGCTATTGATTAATTTGTTGGTATATAATGGTAATCTATTATGTATTAGTTGTTTTGATCATCTTCTTAATCTAATAGTTCAAGGTGGGTTGAAACAACTCGATGTTGTTGTGGAAAAAAGGAAAAACAAATTAGATAATGTGTGAAATATGTTAAGGGATCATCTGTTGGATCTTTTTACTCAAGAATCATTATTGAATGATATTGCTAATAACATACGATCCTACAGGGTCACACCTTTTATCAAGTTCGCACATTTTATATACTTATTCTTAATATGATTATTAATAAATAATCAACTCTTGTATTTAATTAGGGAATACTTATTGTTTTTGTGAAAATAATAATTAAAAAGAGCATAACTATTTATTATAACATATGGTATGATTTAATAAGTCATGAACAAAGTTTTGTACACTTTAGCTAACCTTAGACTTGCTAGTTATTTACCATTATTTACCTTTATGTAACTAAAGTAACTAAGTCATAATTTTGTATTCTTGGACACTCCATGGCCGAAGTTTATAAGGTTGAAGAGAGGTTGCTTGTCAACCTTCTTCTTATTCTCCTGATCCTCCTAAAGGCTACCATTACTTTATATTATTATAATCTAAAGTCTTGTCTTGCATGGGAGTATATAAGAAAGTGCATGGAGCTTGTTTTTGGCTAGTATATACTATTTTCTTCCTCCCTTCTCCAAACTGTAATCATCATCTCTCCTCCTCTTCTTCTAGTCTTTTGAAGTAATGTGAAGATTTGATGCTTAGAAGTGCTTCTCCTTTAGTGCTTATTTGAGTTAAGCACTTAAAGGCTTAAGAAGTACATCATACAAGATGTGAACTAGCATTCCAAGTACCTTAATCTTGATGGTGGATATTTGTAGAGAATATCATCCTCTTTGATCTTTCCATCTTCATCAACACCCCAAAACGAAGTAGGTTCAAAGGCTTCAAAGGTTGTCATTCTAAAACACTATCATTCTAACCTCTATAAAAGGATCCTTGGTGGTTTTGTTTCGAAATAATCTCGAAAATAATGTTCTCATTTTTAAAGCTTCCGTTGCGGTTTTTATAAAAAAAACTCTCTTATATTTTGTATCAAAACAGTGGTATTAGAGTCATCTTTTATATGTTATAATGATTTTTTTATGTTTGATAACCTTTGGTTTTGGAAAATATGTTTGGTATTTCTTTTGGCAAAGAAATCACCAAATATATTTTCTATGACAATTTGTTATTTTTATAATTGTTATTTTTATGCAACCAAGTTTTTTCATGCATTTTGGTTATATAAAGTTGCCTTAGAAAAACAAAGTGTTGGTTGGTATATTGTGTATGTTGTATAAACTAGCCATGGTCTATTGTGTTTGTTGTATGTTTTGTCTTGTTAAAATTGATTGTAATATTTATTTATTCATATGGTATGTAATAATTAAATAGATTAGTTTTCTTCATTTATTTTTGTAAGTAATAGATTAGTTTTTAGAAATAATTTATTTGTACAAAAATGTAATAAGAAATGAAGATTGAGCCATTTTTTGAAGACTAAAAGGTAATTTTCGCAATTTTGAAGTGTGTAGGGGAATTTGCGACACTTTCTACAAACCGTTGCTAAAGGCGTCGCTATTGACAGTTTCCACAAGACCTGTTAGTCCTGATGCAACACTTTCTGCAACCTTTTCTGAAAAATGTTACATGTTGTTGAATTATTTATCTTTCAAGAAGTTTTTCAACTTTTGCAAGCAATGAATGTTTTTCTCAAGCGGAAGCTTCAACAACAACATTATTAGAAAATTTTTGATCCCTTTAAATGCCCCTTTAGGAATGGACTTGACATTTTATGTTGGTTTACAAAATGTCACTAGACTTGGTTGATTTATGCATATATAATTTTAATGCATGATTGTGATGCTCATTTTATGCTGTTGTATTTATGTTTCATGTATGAAAATAGTTTTTACATGTTAAATAACGTTTTATCATAAAATAATATCACTTGGAGGTTGAGAAATAAATATTTAAAAGGTAACAAAAGATGTTTATAAATGACTATTTACTAAAAACAGTTTAACCGAAAAAATTAAGTTTTATTAAAAATAATTTTATAGTAAAACTTGTAAATAACCAACTTTAAATATTTTAAATGATTTAAAATGTGTTTAAACATTATCTAAACTTCATGTATTTATAATAAATAAGAGTTTTTATTAAAAAGACTAAAAATTTGGTTTATAGTGTTATAACGACAAATAATAATACTAGTGATTATTTTTTACGTCGAAACTTAATATATGGTATTAATTTTTTAAACTTAATGCAACTTGTTGATATTATGTTTTATGCATGCCAAATGAGATTTAAAACATAATTATCATTACCCAAGTTTTGGTTTATCAAAATATGACTTTCAATCATAAGATGTATAAAATTAAGTTTATTAAATAAAATGAGTTTTGTTCTACAAATTCATAAAGTTATAAAATTTGGATTATTAAAGAGAGATTTAAAATTATGATATTAGAACACATCCAAAACTCCAAGTCTTAAGTATAAAATGAAATTTTATTAAAAGACTCTAATCAGTTCTTAAGCGTTCTATGACTAAACTTTAAATATCAAATTTTAGTTTATAATTGAGCGCGACTAATGGTAAATAAAATAAAGTTTTATTTGGAACCTAAAGAACTTTATAACAAGTGGTATGATTGTTACAAAAGGGTACACAAATTGTTGGATGCATGTCATATTTATGAGACCATGTTTTTTATAACTATATTTGTAAAACATATATAAAGCATTTTCTTAAAAATGCAAGTCATTGTCGTCCTTTTGAATAACACTCGGGCATCCTTTGTATGGTCTTAGTGGGCGATGAGTTACCTAACCCCTAGGACTGTCTTATGATCTTCGAGGTGGTTTTGTATTTTCTAGTGATATAAGGGCCACCTAGTCACTAGTTAGTTGCAATGCTACAAGTTGTTTCAAGTAGGAAGACCTGATCGGAATCTTATGCGATAAAGGTCACCTAAGCATGAGATATCTGAGGCATAGATGATATCTAACATGCCAAGATAAGCAATAGTTGTTTGGGATTCCATTATCTTGGAATTACATATTTTATGCAATTGATAATCGCTACATACTGAGTTTGATTAAGTGGATGAGATAAAGGTCACCTAACCATTTGCTTGTTTCGTTACTTGGATCCTAGATTTTAATAAATTAATGTTTAAGAAACAATAAAATGTATTAATTTTAAAATACTTAATATTGAAAATACTAAATGAATTTTTGTTTAATTCTGTAAATAAATGTTAGTCCTCTTACACCCATGTAAAACCTTTTCTCTTGTTGGGTTTCAAGAGATAATAACATTTGATGGTTATAATTTCTGTAACTTGTATAATACATTGAGGTTCTTCCTTTAGGATCAGTAAAAATTATATATACTGAAAGATCTCATGCCTGAACAACCTCTACAAACCAGTTAGTCTGATCATGATGCTTTAATGGAAGCATTATTGTGATGATGATGTGTCTCATATCATGTTGAAATAATTTCCCTTGACTTACAAAAAGTCTTGTTTAAGTATGAAGCATATCAGATGTCTCATTAAGTAAAGTAGACATTCAATCAAAACAATAGAACGTGCTTCAAACCTGTTCAACTGTTGAATAATAGGAGGCTAAGAGATTGTGTACTCTAATAGACCCGTAGTTCAGTTATGGGAAATAAAACATAAACCCATAAATCAAGAAAGGACCATAGTGATTAGTTTTGTTTTTATCGTGGAAGAAACTGTACACTAAAAGAGAAATTGCTCCTCTAATCTCATCGAGCTGAGGAAGTCTGACTTGACCAAGACTTCAAATATCTATATGATAGAACTATTTATTTTTCCATTATTCAGTTGAGTATGTCATACTTCAGGTGACACTAGTAATTGATATTATGTGCTGATGATATAACAAGTGTTGTTATAGTAATTTAACAATAGATATTTTTTACTTATTTTTATAGGAACATGTAACAGTTGTATTTTATGAATAACTCTAGATTTACTTATCGTTTAATGAGTGTTTATAGTCATGTTTTGAAACGATGTATTTTTTGTTAAGAATATTTTCTCATAATGTTATTTATGAAGTAAATATATAAGAGTTCAATAAATTGATAGTTCTGATTATAACACCTAAACAATCAAATGAAATTTAATTTAAACTTATCTATATCATAATCATCATGAATATATAAACATGAAACACATATACCAACTTCAAAAGGATGGAATTGTTTAATGCAAATGAGCATGATTCATTTGATATATGTGAATCATATTTATATGGGAAGATTATTCACAAGTGTCTTTATCTATTAGTACTTAAAGAATAAAAAGTTTGACAAAGAGTTATACATAAGTGATGTATGTAATCTTTTCAATCCATGAATAGATTTGGTGATAGATACTTAGTCAATGTCATTGACGACTTTTATTCGTTATTGTTGAAACTTTTTGATTTGATCAAATTGTTTCAAAGTGAAGATTGAAATACAAGTTATTGAGACTATCATTAACCTTTCATTGTGATAAAGACAATGAGTTTTGTAAACCAAGTCTTCTTGGACATCTTAAGAGTTGTGGAATCGATTCACAACTCATTCCGTCAGAAACACTCACTCATCATTTGCATAGTTCTATTGGCACAGGATCACCTGGTCACTTGGATTTTTCATATAATGTTCAAGGTAGCCTTTGTATTCTCTAGTGGGATAGGGTCACTTGGCCATTAGATGAATGTTGATAGTACATGTTTTTGAATAGGATTACAAAGACCTTGCAATCTGCTATATGATATTTTTAAAGAACTATTTCCTTTATCATATTTTTGGAGTTATGCTTACTGCGACAAATATATATTAAATATATATTTCCAACCTAGAAAGTAGATTAAATACTTTCATTAGACTAAGGATGAAACGTTCTATCCTTATCTTAAAAAGTATAGAGTTATGGAGCTTATGTTAGGCAATGATTTTAACTCACTCTAGCATCTACTAATTGCATTTATGTAGACTATCCTAAATTATTGTTTAGGATGAAGTTTCTACAATCCTACTGATTGTCATTCCAAAAGATATACGCTTAGAAAGTTCTCTTTCTAAGTGGAAGAAATATGGAACTTTAAGAGTTAAATAACCATAAACTAAATGCATTATAGTTTGGAACTAGCAAGTTTTTCAACTGTTGTTGAACCTATTCAATAATTGATTAGAAATTAATAGAACACATAGAGATACATTCATGTATGATAATTAAGTATGATCTTGATTAATCTTCCTTGATATATTATGAATCTGAAGAGTAAGTGAGTTTTTCAAAGGAGAAAACATACATGAATGAAAATCTTTTTAAATTTAAGTTGACATCTCAAAGTAAGAATCTTCTTTCTTTTAAGACAATTACATAGTGTGATTTAATTATAAATCAAGATGACTCTTATATTTTCTATAAAGCTAGTGGGAGCATCGTAACATTCCTAGTCTTATATGTGATTGGTATACTAATTCTTGGAATATGGATCTATATAGATAGATCATGGCAACTAAAAATATTAAGTAAAATTGCATTAATTGTCAAGCATCTTAAAAATATTAAGATAAAAGACTTTGATAGAGTTTATCTTGTCAATACCACATTACCTAATTTTAAGCATCCCTCAAAATCCTAGTACAATGTTTTTGAACTAGATAAAATGATTGTATTTCATATGCTGCTGCAATTAGATTAGTCATATATATATATATATATATATATATATATATATATATATATATATATATATATATCATGATTATGCATGAAGGCCATATATGCTATATTCTTAGAGCATGTTGAATAAATACTGGTATAATCCAAGAATAAGTCATGGTATGGTTTATAGGAACATTCTAGAGTACTTGTGAGAACTAGAGGAATATTCCAAATCTGCGGAAAATTTGAAAGAAAGTTATGTTTAAGTTGTTACACATATGCTAAACTTCCAAATAGATTGAGATGATTCTCAATCGCAATCAAGCGTA